AAGCACCTTGACACAAGCAATTTTGGAGAAACCCTAGGGTTTCTTCCACCTAGGACTCAAGCTTTAAGTTTCTTTTACAAGACAAAGTCTTTCTTTTCTTAAAGAGGAATACATGAGACAAAATCTTTCTTTTCTTAAAGAGGAATACATGAATGACTCGTCAGCCTATCCATGTCCTTATTTATATTGAAAAATTATTGTTTTGGACAATATTAGTCCATACAATTAACTTTTGACCAAAACGTTCTAACTTAAATATAACTTGAAACTAAACTCCCTAACTTTAATTAAAATATCTAAAAAGTCTCTAACTGTTCCTAGAAAACTAAAAAACGCTAGAATTAAACCATAAAACTAAAATCAAAATATACATCCTTCAAAATTGAATAAAAGTTTAAATAAGTATAAATTTTCCCTCCATCATTCTCCCCTTGTTGGATAAAACTCGTCCGCGAGTTTTGAAGTGTGCTAAGATGAATTCAACATCAAAACCACTTTCTTTAACCTTCTCTTTCTTTGTCGGCTCAAATATTACTCGAGGTAAAAAAAGTTCCTCAAGAAATGGGTCCTGATATGCATATTGAGGAATCCATGCAAATTTATCAAATTCAGTTATTCGTGAACTCCCATTGGAAATCATGTAAGATACTCCAAACTCAATTTTTTGGCTTTTAGAGGTTTTCTCAACATCTATTTGATCACTTTCTGAAATCAGGGCCATAATTTGCGGTTGAGATGACTACACTTCCACTGCGATACTCTGACTTCAATGCCCTAAATTTGGTGAACACTGCACCTCTACAATATTGATGAGATCTTCAAAGGGCATGATTTTGATCAGTCCTACTGCTGCCTTCTCTCCATATTCTTCCCCCGCTTCCAAAATATCTTCACCATCATCTTGATCCTTGTCATAGATCGGATCTCTTAAGAAATATTGTTCTTCATCTGAGTATATATCGAAGATTGGTGGTGAATTCCAATCATAAACTTGTTGACTTTCCATGCAATCTATCTCAAAACAAAAAATATCGTACTTCAAATCGAAAACCCTAAAGTGTTGTTCCCCACATCTAGGTCTTCTATCACTATCCTCATCACTCGACTCCACACGCGGAGCGTGAAAGTGAAAAGACTTGCACTCGAGATCCTCTTGGGCTGAAAGATCACCGTCTTGCCCATTATTGAGTCTTGCCCATTATTGAGGCTTGTGAATTGCTGCGCCAGTTGTTGGACTTGCCTTTCAAGTTCTTCAATCTGTCATCTATAGGATTGCAGAGTAGATCTACGAAAACCCCACGTCTATGGCCCCTTCTTGCTGCCATAAGTTCGTTGAAATCACAAACCCTAGGCAAATAGTCAACAAAAATTGCTGAAATCAGCAAGATCTAGGTTGTCTCGGCAATACTCTGGCCTAGACCCCACTATATTCCCTCTTTGTTGTGGACCTAGGGTACCAAATAAAGGTGATGCTATAGTAACTCTGTGCGTGCTACAGTACTTCAGTACTGTTACAGCCTACGGTAACTTCCGTGTAGATCGCGGGCTCTGATATCACATGGTGTAGGAAAACTTGAAGAAACCTAGAAAAATCAGCAAGAAGCACTTTGACACAAGCAATTTTGGAGAAACCCTAGGGTTTTTTCCTACCTAGGCCTCAAGCGTTAGTCTTCTTTTACAAGACAAAGTCTTTCTTTTCTTCAAGAGGAATACATGAATGACTCTCAAGGCCATCCATGCCCTTACTTATATTGAAAAATTATTGCTTTCGATAATATTTGTCTATACAATTAATTTTTTACGAAAACGTCCTAATTTAAATATAACTTGAAATTAAATGCTCTCACTTAATTAAAATATCTAAAAAGTCTCTAACTGTTCTTGGAAAACTAAAAACCCTAGAATTAAACCCTAAAACTAAAATCAAAATATACATCCTTCGAAATTGAATTAGTTTTAGGGTTTAATTGTAGGTTTTTTTAGTTTTCTTGGAACAATTGAAAACTTTTTAGATATTTTAGTTAAAGTTAGGGAGTTTAGTTTCAAGTTATATTTAAATTAAGACATTTTCATAAAAAGTTAATTGTATGGATAAATATTAGCGAAAACAATAATTTTTCAATATAAACAAGGGCATGGATGGCCTGGAGAGCCATTCACGTATTCCTCTTTAAGAAAAGAAAGACTTTGTCTTGTAAAAAAAGCCTACTAAGGCTTGAGGCCTAGGAGGGAGAAAACCTTAGGGTTTCTCCAAAATTGTTGTTACGGTGCTTGTTGCTGATATTTCTTGGTTTCTTCAAGTTCTCCTACATCAAGTGAGAAGGAACCATTAATGATTCATATTTAAAGGGCAGTAGAGGTCACCAAGGAAGATAGTAAGTGGAACTTTGGTTATGATGAAAAGAAATGTTCTTCTATTTGGAGAGTTCTACAGGATAAGTGGGACATGTGACTATAGAGGCCTCTCAGCCTAGTAGGACAGTCTTTACTGTGCATATCTTTATAGTGATCATGAGATAGAAACTAAGGGTTGTTTTGTGTATGCGATCACCTTATGCAACATGAGACTCAACCAGTATGCAGACGTCCAAGACCAAGTGATGCGTGCGCGAGATAAGTAGAATTTTTCCCTCCATCATGCATTCCTCAATATTACTTGTTTTTCGGGTAACTTGTAAATCATGTACACTTGTATGGGATTTTAATCAGCCAATGGAGTTTTCTTGGTCTTATTGGTGACTTTTTTCTTTAAACAATGTCGATTAAGGACGTTCTAATTTTTAACTAGATTGAAAGTCAGGGTCAGTTTCAGGTTAAGATCCATAACCCCCAGTCCCTGCTCTTTAGCCAACATACCCAGATCGAGTGTATTCGCTCCCCTTGTTTATCTTAGGTCGGAACAAGTGATAGGACCCCCTTTTTGTGTCCCCATGTCCCTACCGGGGTGGCAACATGGGGGCGCAAAAAGGAAAGAGAGGGATGGGCTTTCTCTTGCTTTTGGCATAACGTCCTATTGGGTGGGGCTATTAGAGAAGTGGCTTTGTTCCTTTACTTCGCTTATGTTGAGTCAAGCTTCCTTGTTCCTTAGTGTAGTCTCGGTCCATAGTTGAAGACTCTGTTCCTTAGTCTTGAATCAGTGTTTTGATTAATTTTCAGGAATTTATAACTTACTATTTGAGTTTTGGCTAAAACTCGAGTCTGGGGTCTTTTCTTGTTATTGTTTTTACATTCTCCAATATTTTTACCCTTTGTTTTAGTATCATTTTTCTACTTCTTTTTGACTGTTTTGAAGACTCTCTAGGTCCTGAGAAGACTCCCCATTCGGCCTTAGTCCCTTGTGAAGTCCATTTTTCATCACTCCGTCTCTAGTTGCTTCCCATTTTTTCTGATAATTCTTAATTGCCTGCTAAATTCGTATATAGGGTGATCTGGTATACCCTCAGGGCATTGGCAGCCTTCTAACTTGCCATATGAAGGATGAAATCTGTGATATTCTTTTTGAGGAAAGACCCACTGTGCCAGGCCAGGTTGCATGCTGTTAGGCATGATATGAGTAATTAATCTACTGATTGAGTTATTTCTTTTTAACTATTTATTATCAATTGAAAAGAAACTCATGGTCATGTTTTCATTCTCATATGTCCTCTTTGCTCTCTATCAAGCTGTCGTTTTTCTCTTAATGCATGATATTTCATTTATCTAATGGAAGTAGTAGAGATCTAGTTGTTCAAGGCAGTACAAATATACAAATATATGTACGTTTGTACCAATGCTCATAAAATTGAACCAGAACGGTTAACCAGACATGGGGGTGGAAGCGGTTTAACCGGTAAATCGGCCGATTCAACCGCTCTAATTGGTCAAGTCGGGCGATCAAAAGAGTGTTGAAAAAGCTACTAAAATATGAAAAACATATAAAGAATGATTAAACTAAAACACATTCAAATGAAGTTGAAAATTAATGGAAAAAATGGATTTTAACGAATTGATTTGTGCCTAGGGGTATTTTTTTTTTTTAAAAGGATGGGAAAATATAAAAGTGAGTATTAATGACCAAAAGAATTTTTAATCTTTGCCATAATGTAAAGAATATTAAAAAATGCTTTACAAATCAATTTCCTTATTTTTGGGAATTTATATACATTATTTTTTATTTTTTAAAATACCGGTTGATCACCAAAACCGCCCAAAACTAGGACTGCTCAGTGGCCAATTTTGATCTAACCGGGCACTTAGCGGTTAGATCACGCGGTTTTTCCAACAGTGATTTGTACAGAGAGTATAAATGTATAAAGATATGTACTGCTCTACCGAAATGGTGTTTACTGATCTTTATTGAATTCCCAAATTAAAATTTAAACCAGTGTTGTAAAAATTGAACCGGAACGGTTAACCAGGACATGGGCCCGGAAGCGGTTCAACCGTTCTAACTGTGCAAGTATTGGGCGGTCAAAAAAATGTTAAAAAAAGTACAAAAAATCTAATGAAATATGAAAAGTATATTTAAAGAATGATTAAGCAAAGCACATCATATTGAAGTTGAAAATTAACCAAAAAATTTTAAAGAATCGATTTTTGCGCAGTAGTATTTTTGAAATTTTCTAAAATAGATGGGAAATTGTAAAAACAAGTATTAATTGCCAAAACAATTTCCAATCTTTGCCATAATGATGGAAAACATTAAAAATGCATTATAAACAAAATCCCTTATTTTTTGGATTATATATATATATATATATATATATTTTAAAAAAACCCGGCTGGTCGGAATAGCCGGCCAAAACCGGAACCGGCCAGTGGCTAGTTCCAATCTAACCAGGTGGTTACTGGTTAGACCGCCCGATTTTTCCTTCAATGATTTAAACTAACTAAACTTTGCACTTGAGCTCCAATTCTTGATATTTACCAGTTTTAAAACTAATCTTTGTGAGATAAATGACAATTTTTATTGTTTTGGATTTCCATTTCCCTGAAATCTCTGCATTGTAATTGTTATGCAGTGCCTTCTGCAATCCTGTTGATGTTGAAGCATTCACAGAAGATAAAAAGAATGCTTTGCTGATCAAAAGTCAGGGTAAAGGTGCTGATTTTGTTCGTGCCGTAAATGAAATAATTGATATCTATGAAAAGCTTAATCTGCAGGGTAATGGTGAGGAATTCAAATCAGATGATGAAGGTACTGTTGTGTCAAATGGTCAATGTTCCAAACGTTCCAGGGCCAAATCTTGTAAGAAAAGTCAGAAGCGAAAGCCCCATGGTAGGAATGAATCCATGCTGGAGACTTCAGACAATTCGTTAGATGACAGGTCTGGTTCCCACAATCCAGTTGATACTTCAGATACTGATATGGACATTCCTTTGGCTAGCACGACTCTGAGAAAGAAATCAAGAAACTCCTCCCTTCCAAGCTCTGATACACAGTGCAAGGCCCCATCTGTACGGCGGCAAAGAAGTGCTTCTCGGGCCGACAATTCTGAATTGCAGAAATTTGTGGTGACTGCAAATGGGAACAGCAATGATAATGTCATATCGATGGCAGAGGAACCTAAGAGAAAAAAGCGACTATCCAAATCAACGCCTGATGATTCTGAGGTTCATGTTAGAGATTTACATATCGATGGGCCAATTTTTAAAGATAACCAGAAAATTAATAAAGAGGAAGCTGGCCACCCTGACAGGAATTCTAATGATTTCCAATCTGATTTAAGCAGCTCATGTTCCCCCGCCTTTGTGGCTGAAGATAGCAGTGGAGATATTAGGGGTGAAACTGTAGTTGAAGAATCAGCGGGTACCAGCTTAAACACACGAGGTGTTACAATTTCAAATGGGAAATTGGAAGATCATGATATTATTGATGAACCTTACAAGAATGGCATGCTTCCTTTGCTTACTTCAGATCAGCCCAGCAGGGCAATCATGGCTGAGTATCCAACTAAGATGATTGTTCTAAGGAAGAAAAGGAACCCAAACCGGAAGCGGACACTTCCTGATGCAATGCCTTGTGCTAGAATGGAAAAAGATGCCAACTTGGATATTAGTACTAAGCCACCTGAGACATGTGGACAAGCTAATGGTAGGTTTCACACCATAGATGGTGATGAACACCTGCCATTGGTGAAACGAGCAAGGGCACGTTTGGGCAAGCCATCAATAGAGGATTGGGACCATGATGCAAACACTGAACTGAAGTCTGAAGGTAATATTTTAAATAAACCTGCTGGGGCAAGTCATACTTCTCCATGCTCTGAACATAAGAATACTAATAAAGAAGTGGAGTGCATTGCTACATCAGTAAAAATGTCCGCGATATCTATGAATGATAGGAGCTGCATGCCTTGGAAGGTGAATAAATTCCATCTGAGGGACAGTTCGGTGGATGGGGAGGCGGGGCTGCCACCCTCGAAACGCCTTCACCGTGCACTTGAAGCCATGTGTGCAAATGCTGCTGAAGCTGATGATGTAGCCGAATCTGATAGCATTAATATGGAAAACCAGGAAATAGGTGAAATCAAAGTTGATGTCTCTTTTAAAGTCAGAGATGATCCTTCTCAAGAAGGCGATGTATTAGTTAATGATGCAGCAGGGCTGTCATCTGAATCACCATCACTTCCACGGTTACGTACTGAAACTTGTTCTGAAGAGAAACCAAGTATCCATATCATAGGAAGTTCCTTGGATTCTATCCCTGGGGACTTCAATGAAATGGTTAAAGAGGGTGAGAAACATTCTGATGTAAAAGTTATTGATGGTTTGCCTCAGGATATCAGAACTTCTGACTCTGAAATTCCAGTGAGTTCCCTGGAGCTTTGTTCTCCTCCTCAAAAAGGGTGTAATAGTGTTGGATTTGGTCACGATGTTTGTGTGTTGCATCCTTCTCCTCAAATGGAAAAACATGCCACTGACCATGCACAAATGGAACAAAGGAATGAAGAACCAAGTTTAAGCCCAGGCAGGGTCAAAATGGCGAAAGAAAAAATAATTGCAAGCCCTGTTGAGGTAAAATCTGTGAAAGAAGGAATAATTCCATTTGCTGAGGTCCCAATCGTGAAAGAAGAAATATTTGCTAGCCATGTCAAGGTTAAAATTCCGAAAGAAAAATCATGTGCAAGCCCTGCTGAGGTTGAATTGCCAATTGCAGAATCAAGCAAGGATAACAGTGATAATGTTTTGGATGGAGAGGCTTCTGATTCACGAATGGGTAGATCAGATGATGAACAACAAACTAAGTTATTATATTCCCCAAAGCTGGATGGTGAGTTTTCACCTACGAATGGTAAACGCGTGCCACACTCCGCAATTGGGGGGACTATTTTAAGCAGCAGTGTAAGTGCTAATGTTTTATCACAATCGCTTTCAGAGGAGAACAGAGCCATTGAGGAGAAGAGAGCTATTGAGGAGTGAGTATTTGCAATTACTTTTTATTTTTGACAAGGTTACATAGGAATGGAATTTGAAACGTTGGGCTATGAAAACCTAGCCTCTACCGTCTTGACCCCAGCCCTTTTCCCGAGTATTTGCAATTACTAGGCATTAAGTTTCTGTATTTTTCTTGGCGTCATTCTTGAGATGCTTATATTTTGGTTTTTGCATGTTTGTATGTTCTGATTTTCCATAATATAACTGGAATTGCAGGTATAAAGTTCTCAAAGATCCTCCCATAACATTAAAAGATTTTGATTTCCCTGTATCTTCTAGACCCATGAAGGTTCTAATTGCAGCTGCTCAAGCTAAGCGAAATTTGTCACGATCTGCTTTTCTCTCCCATTCTTTTCCAACTGCTGATGATAAGGTGATGTCTGATTCTGGGTCGAGCCCATCCCCAGTTTTAGGAAAATTGCGAGGAAATGCTGAAGTAAATATGGCTTTAAAGTCTTTTGAAGATATGCTTGGGTCTTTAACGAGGACAAAAGAAAGTATAGGTCGTGCTACCCGTCTTGCTATTGATTGTGCAAAATTCGGCATTGCTGGTGAGGTATGCTATCCTTTTGGCCTTTTTTCTTGTATCATGTTTAGGTTTTTTCCATTAATGGCAAATTGTTATTTCATTTCTGGAAGTTGCACAGCTACACCTATAAATCTCCTCAGGTGATGTCATTATTGCTTTCTGGGCTGGTTATTTGGTTTATTTTCTCTGTCAGTTATTTCTTTATAGCAATGATTTAAAAGGAGTATAGTTTGTATTGGAAGCTGCAAATGATATATAAGCGGGTTTACTTGTTGTGACTTTATTTTAGGGATATTTGGGAGAGGTGTGACACAACTTATCGCAAGACTTCTGTTTGGGAATTTATTGAGTATACTAGAAAGTTGGTGCTTTTTTCCTGGATGTTCGTGGAGCGTGGATTTTGATTTTTCATTTCGTCCTAATTTTTGATAATTGCTAGTTATGGATATTGTTTTAAATAAGTAAAATTATCACTACAGAAAGAAACCGATGTAGATAAAATTTCTGTTGCTGCTACTTTCTGCGAGAACACAAGTAAAGCAAATCATGTGTTGGAAATCTGTGATGCCTTCTCTCATAGCACACAATTATTCTGAATTGTGAGAGTAGAATTATGGGTTTTGTATTATCTCTTATATCCTTTTTTAGTTACTATTCTCCCCATAATCTCAATCTCCATTCTTGTATCGTTCTTGGTTCTTGGAAGCTACTGGGAAATGAGTAGTCTTGGTAGTAGCCTAGTAGGAACACTTAAGGAGCAGTTTTTGGGTAATTCACGTGGTCAAAGCAACTGGGAAGGATCGATCTAGATGTGGTAGTGTCCAAGGGATATCTGATAAGCTAAAATATTTTCTACTCCCTCAGGAGTATGCTATCTATTTACTCCCTCGGGAAAAACGTACACTGTGACTATCTTATAGATCCCAAATTTTGGGGATGTAGTCTCTAGTACCCAGCAACCAACCCCAAAGAAAAAAAAAAGTTTCACTCTCTTTGTGCCTAAAAGATAAATGGAATCCCAAGTTTGCACGGGAACCATCCAATTTTTTGAGGGAATGATCTAGATGTTTAAGAACTCAACATCCAAATCTTTTTCTTTGAAAATAATCATCTAGTTATGATTAGATGGATCCCAAAATTTCAAAAAAAAAAAAAAATCTCCCAAGCAAGTGTTTTGCCAGAGGGAGATGTATATTATGCTCCTGAGGAAGCATAGTATACGTGCTTATTGATAAAGGTTGCCTTCCTGGTAAGAACATTTTGTAACCTTTGTACGGCATAATGAGAGCTTTATAGTTTGTTCTAGACTTTGGAATATCCGGAATCTGTCGTTTGCCTAACTTATTCCATGATGGAAAACTAACGTACATCAACATGAAAAACTAACTCAGCTACATCATTGTGAATATTGCCTTATCAAGGGTTACTGTCTTCAATTTCTAGCTTCATTAGTTCATTGTAATGTCAGCATTCTAATATTTTGGTGTAACTGATTATTTTGTATACCAAAATAGAGGTTTTATATTCTGGGGGAGAAAATTAATCTTTTATTTTATCTGAATATAGACCATGCTATGCTATTCACTTCAGTTGGCTTTTTGTTTGTTCCCAAAATGGAAAGACATCAGCTCTTCAGCCGATTTGGGGGTTAGGTTTATTTTTAAAATAGAAAAATAAAAAATTTCAAAGAATTCTATACTTGGCATTGTTAGAATAAATGAATATATAAAGTGTATTTTTGAAATTCTGAATATCACAAAGTTATTTCTACATTATTTTTATATTGTGGATCCATTTTTACCAAAATTTGAATATATCGGAGCATTTATGGAATCAAAACCGACATATGAAATATATGTCTAGGAAGGATTTCCTTTGCATTGATTTGGTTGTATAACCCAAAGCCTTCGGCAGAGAAGGCTGAGGAAATGAATCTGGCAAGACTACGAAAGACAACCATTTGATGGGCCACCCCTGTAAAACTATGGGATGGAGCTCGGGACACTACATATTTTTTGTACTCTGGCAGTAGACTAGGCCAATCTTGTGTATAGCGTCTCGGGACCTATTTTTTGACCAAGATACCCGTCTCGTGGGTACTCGAGGTCCCCTCTTTCATCCTTCACTTGTACTCACTCTTGCAGCAATACAATGTTAACATTATAAAAAAAAAAAAAAACTATGGGATGGAGCTCTCAGCATGAGTCTTAATGCTCATTTCTTATCAACTGTTGAACTTATGATTATTAGGACAACTTGAACAAGAAAATTAATATCCCTACATGCTTTAATGCTCGAGATGTTTTTTTTGGTTGTTGCTCATATTTCTTCTCTCCTTGTTCTTGTCTTTTTTCCTGCCATGGATTCTCTTAGCATATACTGTAATGTGAATTAATTGGGAATCTATTGACAAACATATGGTTTCCTGATTGGCTTTGCTTTAGAAGTCTGATTATTTTCACATTCTGTGTGTGAATCTGTACCGACATCCACGTGTTTGTATGTGCGTGCACGTGGATGGATGTGTGTGGAAGTACTTTATTCTTATTTCTCTTGGAAACACTATGGTTTTATAATGCCTTACCGGAATTGATTTGATAATATGGTGCTCTCTTTTGAGATCAGTGAACAGAATTTTTATTTGTATTGTTCTGTATTTTTAAATTTTAGTGACCAAATATATTTGAATATATCATATCTAGGGTATCATCGCATTTTGCAAGGAGCATGCGGATTAATTTGGTCTTTGAGCCAGTATTATTTATTGGACTCTTCTTTTCTTGTTGCTTGTTGCTCTCAAACTGTAGGTTGTTGACATTCTTCTTCAGCATTTGGAAACTGAACCAAGTTTGCACCGTAGAGTGGATTTGTTCTTCCTTGTGGATTCTATTACCCAATGTTCTAGGGGTCAGCGTGGTAAGATACCTTCAGCTTTCAAACTTAGCATTTCAGGGGCTGAAACCCAAAAATGTGTTATGGGGACCCCTCTTTTTTTGTCTAGGTAAATATTGGATTTTTATTATCAGACGAAATTTAAGTTTTCTCCAAAATTAGGTCATAACATCTGGCAAATAATGGACAGTCACAGCTGTTTTGCTGTTTGGTTTTAATCAAGGGCCTAAATTGAATGTTGGCATTGATGTGTTAACACTTTAATCCTTTTAAGAATCCCTTTTCAGAAACTTTGCTTTATAATATATTTTGTGCCACATAGAATATGTTTTCAGATGCAGTGATATTGTTCAAAATTTCAGGTGTTGCAGGTGATGCATATCCTCCTGCAGTTCAAGCATTACTTCCTCGTTTGTTATCTGCTGCCGCGCCTCCTGGAAATGCTGCAAGGGAAAACCGCAGGCAGTGCCTTAAGGCATGTTATTGGGTCTTGTTTTTGTCGTCGGTTTGGATACGTCTGGGTACATTTTAATATAACTTTTCTTCTGCTTTATTAAGGTTTTGAGGTTATGGCTGGAACGGAAGACACTCCCTGAATCAATTGTTAGGCGTCACATGCAAGAACTTGATCTGTCGAGTGGTGACCCATTAAATTTTTCTCTGTCTCGTCGACCATCAAGAACAGAGAGGGCTTTTAATGATCCAGCTCGAGAAATGGAGGGTATGCTTGTCGATGAGTATGGCAGGTGCGCTTATATCTTTTAATCCTTGCGATTCTTGAGGGCAAGCTATCGAAGTCTGTTTGGTTTCAAAAGTTATTGCAAAGTTGACTGTCAATGCAAATTCCAACCGAGAAATTAAATTGATTCATCGGTTTGATCAAAAAATACTTTTATGTTTTGGCTATTTTTACTAATAAAAACTGAGTAAAATATCGACATATGCACTTATGTAGATTCTTTTAGATTCTTTTCTATGATGTCTCCTTGGGATACCTTTGTGACTGTTTTCTAATTCTATTATATGCTTTATAGTTTGATGATAAGTGATACTATTTTCCTTCTTCGGAAAAGGAAAAACTTGACAACTGCTCCTTTTGGGAAAATAGGAAACCTACCTACCTATTTTTGGTAGTTAGCAACCAACTGCTGCAGCTGCTTTCTTGCTCTCTCTCTCTCTCTCAAGCTCTCTCACTCATCCCTACTACTACTTGTGGGTTGCTTTCATTGTAGGGTAGAGAACAGTAGTCCCTCTGTGTACTCAGAAGAAAGATGAAACTAAATGTTTTGTCTTGCTTTAAAGAATGACACCCAAATTTCTTTCTTTATTTCATTCACTTTTGGGTAGAGGGAGGTCACTACCATCCTTCCTAGAGACCCATACAATATGGGCTACAGCTCCTATCTCTCTCTCATTGTAGAATCTAGTGGGGTTCTGTATTGCATTGGTAAAATTTGGTTGTGTTCCAGTGCTGGTGCTGCATCATAAATTTTCTAATGGTGTTTGTTATCTGCCTTTTCTTTAGAACATTGGTGCTTTAAGTGGCATTTCTAGCTTAGTGCTAATTGTGTTTGGTTCCTAGTACAGCAACACGAGCTTTCAACTTGTGGGACTTCATATACCACAACTTATTGAGGATGAAGAGGATGCAAGTGCTACCGAAGAGAAGGGCACCGCGCCTGCTACTCCTGTTGAAGCCCCAGAACCTCCTGTATCTGGAACTGAAAAGCATCGACGTATTTTGGAGGATGTTGATGGTGAGCTTGAAATGGAGGATGTCTCACCATCTGCTGAGATTGAAAACAATTCCACGTATCAAGATCAGTTTGGTTCTACGCCTTGTGTTAGGCCACATCCTGAAGGTCTGCCACCATCTGCTCCTCCTTTACCTTCTTCCCCTCCACCGCTGGCACCTCCGCCCCCTCCCTCTCCTCCTCCCCTTCTTCCTCAGCTACGGCCTCGCCTATTTGAGTGTATTGATTCACAGCATAACCCTCCTACAAATGTAAGCATGTTATGCCACTATTTTTTGTGTAAACATTTGATTCATGTAACAGGAAAAAGATTTCTTATTCCTTAGCCTGAAAGAAAAGAAGTTTCATGGCAATTTTTTTACATTGAACTGAGATGCATAAAATGTTCTTGTGAAATATGCGTGACACTCCACTTGATTTCCTTGATGACATATGGATTGCAGACAAAACTATACTCCATTATTGGTAAACTAGTGAACTGTCTCTCTCTCTCTCTCTCTCAATTTCCACCAAAAAAAAAAAGAATCTCTCTCAACTTCCAAAAAGAAAAAAAATTTCTCCTTATTTTCATATCTCTCTCCCCATTTATACTTCCTTATTGTGGTGAATCTATAGATAACAATAATTGCGTATTCTTTATTCTTTTATTTATTTATTTTGGGATCTGGGGAAAAAAGGGGCTAGGGCGATAAGATTATCTGTTTTGTTTTTTTATTGATTGCTGTAAATTATTTTTATTTTAGCAGAGTTTCCAAGGTAACTTGCCTCTGGATGTGACCTCGCAGCCACCTCGGGTTCCAGCACCTTATATGCCTCCAAGATGCCCGGACTCTCAAGTGCAGATGCCAGCAACAGTCGGTCCTTATAGTTCTTCTTCTTCATATGGATGTCCTCCTCGTGCAGCTTATCCTGTGATGCAACCAGGAAACAATGTCCAGCACTCTCATGTTGCACCTTTACCCAATAACGTTTATCAAGTGCAGCCCCCTCGGCCAGCGATTTCAAGTCAGTTCTCGTTTGTCCAACAGTCAGAGCCACCCAAACGGTTACAACCTTGGTCTGAAGGCGCCCCCTCGCCTGCTTTTACACCAAAGGGCCCAATTGTTCATGATTCAAATAGATGGAATTACTCTGGTGACGGAAATACAATTGGGAGGGATCCACATCATATTGATGAGACCTGTAGATCATCCTCTTCTGTATATTCAGGTTAGATTTCATGCTTTGCATTGTAGTTAATGTACAGCAGGTTTTTGTGTCATGGAAGACATCAAAACTAAAAGATGATGGAAATTTGAGCATGAATGTAAAAAAATTAAGAAAATGAAGTGGTTGACACATAGAATCGAATAAATTATTCATCAAAAAATAAAAGTGAAGCAACAACAATGAGTTCTTTCTTTTGATAATTGTTGTATGAAGACATTTATGACGGCCTGATAACATTAGAATGCTACAATGAAGTGATTTCACACAACTGTCCTAGAGACCTGGCTAACAGATAACAGGTTATATACTCAAGGACCTCTTATGTGCCTGATGGAGGGCGTTTTTAAAGGGCTAGTGATTTTTGGTGTCTCCTCATTGATATATGCAATCCTCATTGGTTGAGGCTTCCCTTCTAGAGGTACGATCAGGGGCTAGCGAAAGATTACTGCAAATATCATGAGTTCTCTAGAACTATACCTGATGCAGTTTTATGGATTACACTTGACTAAATCCTTCTCCATTATCTGTTCCCTGTTGCCAAAATAATGGCTATTGATCTGGATCTTCAATCTGCTTTCTTAGAGGTGCTAATGGAGATGATGATTCCCTTGCGAGATATGGTTTTGGTCGAATGGTTGTCTTCTCGAGGATAACTCTTTCATTCCCTCGGCATTTCTTGTGAATGCTTTCCTATTTGTGTTTCTGGTGTATCTTTTTTTTTTTAGCAACAAAAGTTCAGAAATGTTAATAGCTGCAAAGGGAGGAGTTTTTCCATCCCATTTTGTGGTTATCTCTATACCTTCTTGATCTCTCAAAGGTGTGCCTAACTAGTCACTCTTCCTGCTTCTAGATTATAACCTCTACCTCGTCATCACCACGCTTTTCTCCGTTGATTAGGAGGGAAAAGAATTGCAATAAAACGGGTATTAGATAATGTAAAACTGAATTCTGGATAGAAATAAAAAAGCACAAAGAGTTTATAATTTTTGTGGAAGGCTCAAAATAGGTAACGGGTAGGCCCGAAAGGACATGGTTGGAAGTAGTGAGAAAAACTATGGTGATTTATGGCCTTATTGAGAGCATGACCCTTGACAGAGCAGAAAGGCGAACTAGGATTTGTGTAGCTGACTCCAAATAGTTGGAAAAAGGCTCTGATGATGAACCTTTTTTGATCTCTCAAACTTGTGCTTTACCCGCTACCATCCCTTTTTGTCAGATTTAAACCTCTACCTCATCATTGCTGTGGTTTTTCCAGTTAATAGGAGGAAAAAGGAGAATAACATAAAAAGGGAGTTCTAAAATGAGTAAACTGAAGTGTTGGTAAAAATAGAATAGGAGAACCAGGTTTTAAGTTCTAGGAGACAAAGTGAAATGTTGACCACTTGAAGCTTTGGACAAGAACAATTTAGGGAAAATGGAATTTGACTTTTGCCATGGCTATACTGCTCGTTGTTTCTGGTTGGTTAGGGACTTAATGCCCCACAGTTTTCCTGGATTTTTGATATAAGGAAAATATCAAAGGTCTTCCACTTTTGTGCACCTTTATGTATGTGTGATATATGAATAGTATAATATATTGCTAAACCTTAAAAAAAAAAAAAGGTATAATATATTGCTTTGTTCTTGAGTTTTGTGGATATGGAATTTACTTCTTCTATACTCAGGTTATTCCAATTCTGAGAAGCCTGGACCAGCATATGCTCCTGTTCACTACGGGCCTTCAGATCATTCATCAATAACAAATCATCAACACTCTCAATATCATGGGGAATGGGATTATCGACATCCAGCACCCACATATCCTCCAATTTCTGGTGGAGCCATATCAGGTAATTATTTTTTGGTAGTAATTTAATATCAACTGTCATTTCATGGTTGTTCTGAATAAGTTGAACTCTCCTTTGCTTTGTTATAACGTATTTACATTCTTAGTGCTTATATCGAGGCTAAGAGTTTAATTGTGACTCTGTAGCCCATAACTCATGGAGACCGGTGTAAATGACACTCAAATATTGCCTACCATGGATGCTGGTATTTATTCTTCTATGATGCTTTTTTATACTTGTTCTGAGATGTTTTTTTTATTCATTTTCTTACATACTCCTTGAAATGACAGGTGAGAGCTAGATGCTCTTTTATACTTGTTCTGAGATGTTTTTTTTATTCATTTTCTTACTTACTCCTTGAAATGACAGGTGAGAGCTAGCTGCCTTTCATCTGAGTTTTGGATCCTGTCTTGATAGTTGATGCAGTGCAGATCCTTTCTGGATAATTACTCCCTTGGACGAAATTCTGAAGATTAAGAGAGTAAAAGTCTTTGCTGAAAAATCGCAAGATGCATTCCACCTCAATTGTATATATTGTAATTTGTCATTTATCTGCAAATGCAGATTGCGGAAAGACTATCACTTGGAGAGGAGCAGCTTCCCTAGCCAAAGGCTTTATTGTATCATTATCAGAACATTTCATATATTATATAATTGGTTTCAATTGCTTTGATATGGTGCCTCCACATTTTCTTCTCTGTTTGATACGTAGGAGGCTCCTTATCTTCATACTTAGCGGTTTCTTTATTTTCTGAGTGACATGGTTTTAATTTTTTTTTAAAGGACAATCAGCTGTTTATCGCTTATTCTGTACTCGTCAACTTTCCCTTTCTTGTCTATATTACTCTGGATTCCTTTTAACTCTTTTCTAGTGTTTCATGGTGTAAATCAATGGTTGCTCTCAAATTTATGTAATATTGCTTGCTATGCTATATGGGATAAGGCTTTACTTGTGGGAACTGTAAAGCTTCTTCTGACTCTATTTGGCTACGTATGCGGGCTTTTAAAGGTTTTCCCAATTTCATGATTTTTTTTTGAAGACCTGTGACTTTAGTTTTATTGGGTGTTGTCTCTTATATTTTGTCGAACGGTTCGTTAGTCTTTTGTTTCTTACTTTGAAGAGAAACTAGCATAAAAGAGGGAAAAATGCTGATATAAAATGGTCTGAATTTCAGTTCAATGATATTAAATTGCTTACAGTCATATGAAAGGAACAGATGTAATGGCATTAAGGGGAGAGAGTGGCAGACAAAAACAATGACCGTCTTAAGACATACATGCCTTCAATTTCTACGGACTAAGATTTTGGTTAGAAATCTTAAAGTTAGCTTGAGGATTAACTAGGGATGGCAAGCGCTTCTGATGGGTTTTGATTGCCAGGTTTGGCATTGTTTTGCTTGAGCCCCAGGTTTAGATATCTGGGCTAGCGTCAGGCTTTTATAGAAGTTTATTCAAATTTTTATTTTCACCAACTTTTTGAGGTATATCTGAGGTGAAGTACCCCACCTTAAGTAAACCTGAATTGTTAAGATGGCACCTCCCAACTTGGGAGAAAGAAATAAAAAGACATACAACTTGAAATTTTATGTGTAATGATCTCAAAGTGATTATTATACATAAAATTATTTGTTTTTTTAATGCTGTTTGCTTTTGACTTACCTTCGTGTTGAGAGAGAATTGTTTTATTAGATGTCTGAGAAATTCATTATATTGTAATTACTGGGTGATACTAATTTATTCTTACCAATGTGGTCATGAGGTACTTACAAATTTGACTGGTTATAGCCGAATCATTTTCTATGAGAAAAATATTATTGATTGAAGCAGTAAAATTTTTACTCCTTTGTGAAATTGGTTGGAGAGGGTGTTATGCCATATAGGATTATTGCTGTCTTAACCCCTAGTGCTGCTATTTTAGCGGTGACGTTTGAGAATGATTCTGAAGTGATCATGTCATGCAAGTGGAGATTGTTTGAAGCTGTTCTTAGTTTGTGTATAAGTTGGTTGTGTTAGATAAGAACTTGAGACTCAAGTGCATCTTATTTTTAAGTTGCAAAAAGATGGAAGTTCGTTCTACATTATATGCCTTTCATGTGCATACCATATATAAAATGGTCTCCACAGCTGGCCGAAATGACTGCAATAAAAGTTGTCATGCTCAATTCAGGGGCCTCATGAAATAATGCCTTCTTTGCTTAGTTAGTTCTCTAGCATTCCACATAATCATCTGGATTATATTGCAATTTTGCTCCGATCAGCAGCCAACAGAGGCTTCCAGGTGTGGTTCCTCTACGGGCCTGAATACTCTTCACGGAACCTGATCAATTTGGAATGGTATGAGCTTCAGATGAGGTAAGAGTCTCCTAAACCTTAATTGTCTAGAAGATGAAGTTTCTCTTTCCTATTAAGATTATTGATAAGATATTAAGTGTTTGATGGTGTCTGTTCTACAGATTGACATCATTTTTCATTATAACCATGACTACATGACGATAAGTAGATAGTTTCCTGAAGTAGATAATTCTAGTTGCTTTGGCACAATAGTTGCCATGGGATGAAATTTCTTACTGTAAATCTATGGTGTTTGTTTGTGATATGCCAATAGATTGTGCAGCTTGTTGATTGTTAAATGGCTATTTGGTCATGGGCATGTCATTTCCATGTTATCGTAGAAATGCTTGAAAGAATTCTACTTGGTACTCGAAAATTATCCTCTCGGCATTTCTTTTACTGGTCATTTGCAACCCATTGCGTTCTTCCTTTTGGTACATGGTTTTGGCCTTACTAAGTTATCTAAGTTATTTGTTGAATCTCTTGGACTCATTGTCAGTATTGGATGCCTTAAATGTACGTATAAATATGGCTCTTGATTAAATGACAGATTTTCAATTATTTATTTACTTAAATACATTAGTGTTTGAAAAAATGTTTGACAAAATTAATCATCCAAGTTACAAAACACGTGGTCTTTCATTTAGATTAGATAGAAAAATAGTTTCATTTAAAATTTCTTTTCCTTTTAACCAAAAAAGCTGTCTATCCCTTGCTTTCTGTTTCTCTCTTTCCCTTCCCAGAATGAGGCTTGTTTCCCCTCTCTTGCCTTTTCAATGCGGTGTCCAAGAACTTAGGAGAAAGGAGTAAAAGATGTACTTTTTATTCTGGCAAGGAAGCTCACTTTCCCTAACCTCAAATCATGTTTCCTTTTCCTCTCTGATGTGTCAGGGTTCATTGAGGTTGGCTCTCTCTCTCTCTCTCACATCTTTGATGGTTTTCTCTTTAGTATCTTTTTTTATTTTTTATTCGAGGGGATTTGTTTACTTGATAGGGTTTCTCTGTGCATTGTGGTCTTCTTTTTGGGACCATCTTTTTGCATTTGACGGGGATCAAGTGAAGCTGTCTGTTTTCCTTTAGGCTTTTGCCTCTAACTGCCTTTTTGGTTGGTGAGATAGAGATTCAGGCTCAATTTTGCGAGGAAACAGACGGACTTTTGAAGTAATTTTAGTAACTTGTTTCTCACAGTTTCACAGGAGAGAGCCGGTGGTGTTCTAATGTTGTAAGGGGAGTTCATACAATGGAGTGCATGTCATAAGACTTTTTGTTGACTTTCAGTACCAGATGGTCACCGTAAGAAATCATATCTGATGCCTGGGGTTGATTGTGACCTCACGTTAAAGGCATAGTGTTGTTATATATTCCATCCCTTGGGCTAACTACTGGAAAAAGAACTTCGCTAGTCTAGGAACCTTGATCTCTGAAAAAAAGATCTATTTTATAGAGCTTCAATTTACTGTAGGGGTGATACATGCACAGTCACAACTTAATCTGGATGACTATTGTTACAAGCCTCCATTAGGCGGACTTTTGAAGTAATTTTAGTGAACTTGCTTCTCACAGTTTCACAGGAGAGAGCAGGTAGTGTTCTAATGTTGAAAGGGGAGTTCATACGATGGAGTGCATGTCATAAGGCTTTTGGTTAACTTTCAGCACCAGATGGTCACCGTAAGATATCGTATCTGATGCCTGGGGTTGATTGTTACCTCCTCGAGTTAAAGACATTGTGTCGTTATATATTCCATCCCTAGGGCTAACTAGTGGAAAAAGAAGTTTGCTAGTCTAGGATCCTTGATCTTTGAAAAAAGGACCTATTTTATAGAGCTCCAATTTATTGTAGGGGTGATACATGCACAGTTGCAACATGCGCACCCTTAATCTCGACGACAATTGTTACAAGCCTTCATCTTTTAATGGCTACTGGCCATTGAGCTGTTACATGCACCCCAAGGCTTTGTGCGAAGAGCAAAGTGCGCTACAGGCATCTTAAGGCTATTTACGAAGTGCAAAGTGTGCTAACAACCGCTTTTGTACAATGTGCTACGGACATGCACCATGATTATCACCTGTGTACTATGAGTATTAGGCATGCTAATGTTTGCATTTAAATACTACTCAATCTATACTCTCGTCTTTAATGTCGGACTAAAAACTTTCATCTTTTTCGATTTACAAAATATATTTAGGAAAACTACACAAAACTATGTTGTTAATTTAAATTATACACAAGTATTCCTTAAAACAAAAAATACTAGCACCGACGACAACACCAAACCAATCATCATGCAAATGCGGGTTCTCTTTGCCACCAATGGGTCACAACCCGGAAGTATCCTATATCAAGCAACTTCTCTAATATAAAGCAATCATACTTGAGGATCTAAAGTAACAAAATCAAAGGTACAACGAACTAGTTAGTACAAAATGATATCCAAGCAAAAGATGGAAGCGTCACGCGTGAGTGATGGTGAGGTCATAGGCATGAAAACAATAAGCTTGGTCAAAATTTTCCTTTTTAATAATTGTAAACTGGTCAAATGAAAGATACCCTTTCTTTTAGCTGCGAATAAATCCAAGAGAATAAAATGTCTATCGACTCAAATGGTGCAACTACTTTTTCTCCAGACAAAATAGCAAGTAATATGGAAAGAATTGCACTAATTTTGTTCTTTCAAAACAATTTCACAAATTGTTCAATAAGATAATTTGAACCTCTGGGAGAAGATGCTTCCACATGAAATGAACCTCCCCAGCATTCCCATTTGCTAAAGGGTGTGGTTTGCGTAAGGTTGCAACCATAAACAATCCAATTAAGGCATACCTCTAAATTTTATAATAAATGTAAATTTGATAAAAAAAATTCTTAGGGGTTTGAGAAATCTATTTTCATCTCTAATTAAAAAATTTAGACTCTAAAAATAGTTTAAATCAAGTAGATCTATAAAAATATGAAAATCTTGAAAATGGATTGTCCAAATAATGCGTCACACGATATACAAACCTTGAAATCTTTTTTTTTCTTTTGATATTCATACATCTCGATATCGAGATTATCAATTAAAGGCATTTTCCAATATCCAAACCACGATGGAGTTTTGAGGTGCACCTTTAATTCTACATTTTAAGGTTGCAACCTTATATAAACTTTTTCCTTTGCATAATATCTCAATACAAACCACATCTTAATGCTTAGTGCCAATGTTAGTGATACAACACTTGCAGAAAATGTCCAAGATATTAGAAACAATACCCAGCATGTTGGAAGTCGTCTTACAACTCTAAAGTCCCAAAGCAAGTGGTACATCTATAAACCTAAATCCTCACAAACTGATGTTTTCTTTGAACCATACAAAATTGGTAAGATGACATACCCACCTCATCCAGCCTACTCCTAGATCCATTACAACCATATCACAACTAGCTCAAAATGGATAATTAGCAGAGCCTGTGTAGGATTCTATGCAATTTTCTCTCTTTTGCGCAGCTGTAGGATTTGAAATTGGGATTTATTATTGCAACAAAAAAACCTTAAGGAATTAAGCAAGCACAAATCCTTAAAATTTTAATATGTTAAACTCATTGGATATTGGTCATGATGAAAATGGCATCCCCAAATTAATTTTTAAAGTTTCAGAGAAAAAAAATAGGCAGAATATGAGTAGACTAAGATCTCAATGGGAAGTGTATCTATGTGACCCCAAAGACATATAAGTTATACGTGACCCCACTTCTTGGCCGTTCAATCTGAGTTCAAACTGTTACGATTGTTCATACTACAATGTCATGGTAAATACTGTTTTATTTTTAATTTTTTTTTACATAACATTTTTGAATGAAAATTTGGGCACCCATTATAAAATGGGCTAACCTGGTAAAAATAAAAAAAATATTTTCTGTAAAAATCAATAACCAAAATACCCTGCAAGATTTAGGGGCATTCTGGTAATTTTTTATCACGGGAAATATTTTTTATTATGTACGCCCCTGAAAAATCTATGCATGCTCCAAATTTTTCTTCAAAATTATTTGTAAAAAAAAAAAAAAAACAGGAGCCATCATCTCAAGATCCGATAGCTTGTGACATTGTGACTCAAGCATCTACTCATATATAATGGTTGAGACTAGGGTTTAAGTATACTATATATATATATATATATATATATATATA